AATTCACTTTTGGTCAAACATTGTTTTTTAAATCACACGTGGTTCTCTTCCCTACAGTAGAGCATATCAAATAATGAGGTAGCAACAAGTGGCGGCAGAAATAGTGCGTACAAATAAAAAAGTGTATATTGCACATAGCACAGTTATTTCTTTATTTTTTATGAAAATGAGAACAAAATAGAATAACACCAGTCCTATCATTAACATGGTTTTGGTATTGCACCATAAAGGTATTGTGAGTTTAATCACACTATCACACTCCAGTTTGACTGAACTTTTTAGGTTTAGTTGTTTTACAGCAGTTATTTTATACATGTCTATACACACTAGGGATGCCAGCGATTATTCGATTTTTCGAATATTCGTTACAGTCTCCATAATCGAAAATTATTTTGAAAATTCGATTTTATTTATATATATTTTTATTATTATTTTTTTTTTTCCTGGCTTAGTTTCAACCAAAATATAGACTAATGCTATTAATAGTAATATTATTAATAATTGTAAATGGCCATTGCTCACACCACCAGTTTGTTTTACTGTTAAATTCGAGGAAGCCAGCAGCGCAGGCGAATAATCGATTAATATTCGCCTGCGCTGTCCGATTTTCGAATTTGATCATGGTCAGTTTCTGGCATCCCTAAAACACACAGAGAGTTCATTAACGGCAGGAGAAGCAGTAAAAGTGTTATTTCTAAATGTGTTACAGGTGCAGCAGCATCATGATCCACGGCGAGGAGCAGCCACTGGATGAAGACTTGACGGATGCTTTCCAGAGTGCCTACATGGAGCTGGGAGGACTGGGAGAGAGAGTGCTGGGTATGTTTCCTGACACACGTTATTATCGGCCTGAGAATAGATTGTGACAAGAAGCACTTGGACTACACTTTGTTTTCTCCTTGGAAACAGGGAGTTAAGCTTCTTGTAACTGCAAGGGTGCTTTTATTGCTTCGGTGCAGGGGTGTCAAACTCAAGGCCCGGGGGCCAAATCCGGCCCGTGGCTTCATTTTCTGTGGCCCCACAAGAGCTTGCAAAGAATATAATATGTTTATTATACGGTTACATGCCGATTTAGAAAAGCACGTTGCCCATAAACTACATGTCCCACAATGCATCTCAAATTTGACTTTTTTTTTCTCTGAATTCGATTTTTTTTTTTAAACGTTGCTTTTGTTTCAAAATGTTACTTTTCCCCCCCAAATTTCACATTACATTTTTTTGTTTACTTTTTCTCCAGAATGTGGCTTTTCTTTTTAAATCATGTTGCGACATTCTCACCGAAGAGACTTGCAATGATTTGCCGTAGACTTATTATTATTATGAAGTTATTACCCTATCCGATAATAATCCGAGGCAGTAATGTAATGTAATACATACTTTTATATATATTAAATATTTATATAGTCTTAAAGTTACAACCGGCCCTTTCAGTGNGTGTGCCTTGGCAGTGCTCTGATGCAGTTGTTTTATGCTTTATGAACGTGGACGGACAACAGAGAAACATATTCTTCATGACCAAAGTTGGAATTGAAAGAAAAAAGGAAAGTGAAATGTATGCTCGTCACCCTCTCACTCCGGTCCACATTAATACAAATGATCCCAATACGTATGATTATATGAAAATATCTTAAAATAAATACAAATGTATTTATTATAAACGTTAGTCCTTAACATCTATCACTGTGTACATCACCATTCAAACATCTTTTAAAAGTTGAACAAACCCCACACAGCTCAGTAAACACTGTTGACTTTATTTGATCATTTCAGTAAAAACTAACGTTCATATTTCTCTTTTTGATTATAATACTGAACAAAGCACTTTGGCAAGTTACCACATACGTTTTAAAATGCTTAATAAGCACCGTAACTTTCATGATATAACTTCTCCGTCATAATCGTTTGTTTCCGTGAACGGCCGACTGTTGTGTGATGTCAAATGCCGCGGCTGCAAGGCATTGTGGGGCAGCATTTTCTCCTCTCCTTTCGGTGAGGGAGGTCCAGTGGTTCCTAAGCTAAAGGAGGTTATAAAGGAAGTTTGAAACCTCCTTTCCTATCATCTAGAGAATTCGAACGGCACTTATCATGGCTGCCACTGAGGGACTTCCGGGTCATTTCACTCCGTTAGGAAGGTTCCTAAGCTAAATGGACTATTCGACTTCAGCCTCTGTGTTTTCCTCCCTGTCGTTAGTTTCCCTGGTGTGTCTAATTGTCTGATTGTGTTCACCTGTTGCCCTTGTGTTTCTCCTCTCCTGCCCGGCTGTTTCTCGTCTCGTGATTACCCCTCCCTGTATTTAGTCTTGTCTCTTCCTGTGTTCGGTGTCGGTTCATTGTTTGTTTGTCCTCCCTTCACGTCACGCTTCTTCTAGTCTCTCCTGTCTCCATCCTTGTTGGTCAGTGTTGTGTGTTTGTGCTACCTGTGTTTTTTCATGCCGTGTTTTTTCAGCTTTTAAATAAAGCTCGCTTTTTGTTTGAAACCTGCTTCCTTTTTTAACTGCTTTTGAGTCCTAATATTCCCGGATCCTAACAGAATGAACCAACACCGAACACAGGAAGAGACAAGACTAAATACAGGGAGGGGTAATCACGAGACGAGAAACACAAGGGCAACAGGTGAACACAATCAGACACACCAGGGAAACTAACGACAGGGAGGAAAACACAGGGAGAAGGACCAGACAAGAAACAAGGAGGAAAACATGACAGGGAGAACAGAACAGCAAAATAACCCCACAACTAGACACAACAAAACTCAAACCCTGACACAACTTTAATCCATGTATTTTTTAAATGCCATTTTCTTAATGTCTTTCATTTTTTGTAAAGCACTTTGAATTGCCTTGTGTTGAAAGGTGCTATATAAATAAACGTGCCTTGCTGTATATCACATGTAGGAACATTGAATCACCTGCGTAAAGTACCATTTATTTTGTATAAATATCTGTATGTTTCCTGTATGTATTGTCTGCTTAATATTAAAACGACTTATAAATAAAAATACAGATGTTTTGAATGCAGTCAAATCTGGAACATTACATTAGAGATGATACTGTGATGCCTCAGTTCGCACAAAGCTGCATCTAAAACTTTGTGATCTTAAAATGTTATCAGTGAATTCATCTGTTTTTAAGTTACACCTTCACTCCCTTGAGGCCTCCAGTGCGTTTCTTAAGCCAATCACAGTGTGTCTTTCAAAAACTCATTATCAAAAGAAGCTGGATAACTTCTGTACCTGAAAATAGATGTGTAAAATCCCTTTTCCGTATTTGTAGTAGCACCAAAATTATTCACTGCACTCATTATCCTTTTTTATCTGGGCTGAAGTTGTGTGACCTTGCCGCAGCTCGGCTTATTACCTTTTTGACAAAACATCTGCTCCGTGCTTATTGTCAGTCGATTAGCATATCATGCACATTTGTAATAGATGTACTGAATCTGCATTTTACTAAAATTAACCTTTTTCTATCATTGAACATGGTGAGTTCATCCTTTGTGGCCGGTCGCTTTTTCTTTTTCTAATAAAAATGAAATGTTTTTCTGTTCTAATGATGCTGTAACTTCATTAATATCTTCCACAAACACAATCAAGGGAGGGATAAGAACAAACAACACATTTTGCACCTGTTTCTTTGGCTGGCTTTCATTGATTCACATGTTATCAGCAGCTTTCTCTGAGCAACACCATTTTCAGAAACGATTATAATCAGTCAGGGCCCCTCGGAGTGATCGGCTGTAATTTTTTTGACTTGAAAAGACATTTGACGTGCAAATCCTTGCTCTAAAAAGACCAATAAATGGAGCCCCACGAAAAGGCTTTTCAGGAACTACAATGAAGGTTGAGTCTGTGGAACCAATTACCTTGATACCGGCAGAGCGGCATTTACCCACTGCGTCGGGCACAGCGGCACGCGGCGGATCAATCATGGAGATGAGACCCAGGAAGCAGAGCTTCTCGGTGGGGAAGTTGGTTTCTTCGCTGTCGAAGGTGAACCCTCGAGGGAACTGGGATGAAGACAGATTCAAGTGGCAGAAGCCTGCAAGAGGAGAGGGATCAGTGAGGTGATCGTTCATAACTGACTGACATCGCACAGCATACTGCGGCTAATGAAAAAAACTAAAAGCCGGTTGTTTTGTTGCTTTGACATCAACTGACAATTCATCTTGCACTTTAAACAGAAGCCACATATTTTATGACTCTGTGGAGGTTTTTAAAGTCCAACACATCTAACGAGGATGCGGTAATTTATTCTGCTGTTGCTATTAAAGTCAAAAACAAAGAAACTTGCAGAAAATACATCGCCCCCGCTGCAGTGATCCTTTACCTTAAAGTATGCATACAAATCTTTTTTTAATTTTAGATGTAGACTTGTAGGTTGCAGGTTTGAAATACAAATGGAATCAGTTACTTTTATTAATTCATGAACCGCAGCTTGTTGAAATATGCATCCCTTGAATCCCCAAAGAGCCCAGCACAATAAAATGCTCAGTGTAAAAGTGGAGAAACCTTTCTTTGTCAAGAAATACCCGAGCCATCACCATCCCCACCCAAGGCATAACCGAGGATTAATAATTCACATGCTTTTGTGAGTTTCACTCCAGAAATGGCGTATTCCACATTTCACGGTTTGATAAAGTGACACCTGCTTTAAAAAAAATGAGCATAACACATAATTATTACGCATGGCACTTCCTAAAAGGTGCCAGGTAACGTTTCTTCCCTGGTTGTCAAAAGGATGACATTTACAGAGTGTGGATGCCAAACACTTGAGAGATATTGTAAGTTGAACTTTGGGGAATTCTTTTTTTTTTAATCAAAATGGCATTTTACAATGATGTTACAAGTAGAAATATTAGAGATGTGTGCAGAGTGTGACCTGAATTTAATCACCAGTCCATTACAAATGCATTATGCATACAATATCATATACTAAAACACATTGGAAAACATTGTTGTGTACCAAATTGAAATCCCATGTCTGTGTATTTCAATTCTGGCTAAGACTGCAGTGCCAAAACAATACCAAGTAAAGTAAAGTACAGTGTCTAACTCCATTGAGGAGTGTTTGGGCTACACAGTGTGACAGTATGACCAAAATAGTATAACAGTGCCAAATTTGGGCACAGAATTAAATTCAGCATCTCCAATTTACAGTTGCCAACAAGTGTAAACGTGCTAGAAACACTTCTATTAGAAGAAATGTTCGGAACTTTCTGAAAAAATCCCCGAACTTCAACAAGTGCTCCGATCCCAGCTGTGTGCATCCCTCCCGTCGTGTTTTAAACTTCTTGCGCTGCGCATGTGTCGTCGTGGTGAAGTTGGCGAAGATGTTTCTTAATTTGAATGTGTTTTGGGACATTTGTTTTTTCATATTTGCATCGTCTTTGAAACTGCAGAGTGTTTCTCCTGATGGAAATATGTTGGGCTGTGGTAATGAGTTTAAATCTGGCTGCCACCGTACCAACAATGCCATTAACTTGCAATAACAAAAACACAAGGATAAGCCTGGAGTTATTCATTATTTTTCTCATTTTCATTCAGGACCAAAACTGTCAATGTGTTTCTCCCAATTACTTCTGTTTGAGCTTTGGCCATTTATTCTGTTAATATTATTATTTATTTGAGTTTTCTGCAGAGTTGGACCTGAATTGAATTAAAGTCTATTGCGATTCTGCTCAAGCCTGCAAAGCCCAAATCTTCTTTGTATACACTGATGCAGGGGTGTCAAACTCAATTTCATCGCGGGCCACATTGGAATTATGGTTGCACTGAAAGGGCCGGTTGTAACTTTAAGACTATATAAATATACATAATATATATTAAATAATGTATTATATTNAAAACAGCAATAGCAAAGAGCACTAAAGATACATTCAAGTAAAACACAGATCTTCCAAATTTTCCACTTGTAAACCGCAGACACAGAATCTTCAAAAATTATTTTTGAAGATTCTGTGTCTGCGGTTTACAAGTGGAAAATTTGGAAGATCTGTGTTTTACTTGAATGTATCTTTAGTGCTCTTTGCTATTGCTGTTTTTGACCTCTTCTCCCCGGAGAGCATTTGTCAATCAAGCTGTGTTTGCAGTACATTGAGATCTGATTAAGATTTCTGTAAGGGGGAATTTTACTTCACTATGCTGCCATAGAAGCCATTTATGCTCATGCTAACCATGCATTTCTTCCATGGGTGGTAGCAGGTCCTTTAATTAAACAAATGTAGAAAAATCCTGGTCTTAAAATAATCCATTACAAGTTAAGGTCCTGACTTGTAATTGAGCCAACATTTGATTTAACTAAAAGTACAACAGTATTATCATCAAAATATACTTATAGGCTACTACAAAACATATTAATGCTGTAGTTTTTCAACGTGGAGCCAATTTCAGAGACTTCAGAAATACATACTTGTACAGTAACATAAAAAGAAAATATTCACGTAAAACTATGTCAAAATAATACTTAAGCCTAAACTTGTTTTAAAAAAAAAAAATTGGTTATATTTCCTCCCCATAGGTTACTATACTGATTGTGTTTACAGATGTTATGTTGAAAGTCTAATTATTATTTCCCCCTAGCATGTTCCTAAGAAGAGCACAGTGATACTGATTCATTGATTTGTCAATTGACCAATAATAACACCATTTTAATAATTGCAGTCTTAAAAAAACACCAAACATCTGCTCATTACTTAAATTTGCTGCTTGTAAATTATTAATTATTTAATCTAGTAAAGGAAAAACAACTCACTTGTAAAACTCACAATAATCAATCTTCTTTATTAGGCTTATGTCTAATTGTATTCCCCCTTATTAACGTCAACAGAAACTCTCGCTATAGATGCCCAGGGAAAAGCATGGTATAGCCAGATGCACATAACCTTCTCAAATGAATCTTGAGCGAAACCATTTTGACTTTTTTGACATGTTCTGTAAACAATGATCACCCCACAATTGTCCACATCCAAAAATGTTGCAAAAGCTTTTTTGGTGCAAACATTATTATGGAGCAAGGTATCAAAAATAAATGATTGGCCACTTTATGATGTCATAATGATTTATTGGCTTGTGTAACCAATAACCAACCAAGGTAACCCCCCCACCTTATCACCTGAATCTCCTCCTAGAGCACCATTGTGTTCTTTTTAATCAAATATCTCTCAGAGGGGCGTGGGGAGTGGCTCCTTATTTTCATCGAAAATAAATGATACAGGTTGCAGTCGAATAGTCCATTTAGCTTAGGAACCTTCCTAACGGAGTGAAATGACCCGGAAGTCCCTCAGTGGCAGCCATGATAAGTGCCGTTCGAATTCTAGAGAATGATAGGAAAGGAGGTTTAAAACTTCCTTTATAACCTCCTTTAGCTTAGAAACCACTGGACCTCCCTTGACGAAAGGAGAGGAGAAAATGCTGCCCCACAATGCCTTGCAGCCGCAGCATTTGCGTCACACAACAGTCGGACGTTCACGAAAACAAACGATTATGACGGAGAAGTTATATCATGAAAGTTACGGTGCTTATTAAGCATTTTAAAACGTATGTGGTAACTTGCCAAAGTGCTTTGTTTTGAACGTTCATCAGTATTATAAACAAAAAGAGAAATATGAACATTAGTCTTTACTGAAATTGTCAAATAAAGTCAACATTTCACGGAGCTGTGTGGGGTTTGTTCAACTTTTAAAAGATGTTTGAATGGTGATATACACAGTGATAGATGTTAAGGACTAACGTTTATAATAAATACATTTGTATTTATTTTAAGATATTTTCATATAATCATACGTATTGGGATCATTTGTATTAAAGTGGACCGGAGTGAGAGGGTGACGAGCATAAATTTCACTTTCCTGACGTCCGCTGGCGCATCATAAACACGTCAGACAGTGAAAGTGCATTTGGATTCTCTAAAGTACCGCAGTCTCTTCTCCTAAGTCCTTTTGAATTCTCCTATCCACTATCCCTTAACCCCGCGACGTTTCACTCAGAGGTCAAGGAATAGGAGATAGGGTTAGAATTTAGGAGCTGATTTTTAAACTATCCGACCGCAACCAGAGAGAAGGACCAGACAAGAAACAAGGAGGAAAACATGACAGGGAGAACAGAAAAGCAAAATAACCCCACAACTAGACACAACAAAACTCAAACCCTGGAAAGTTACAGTGCGGTTTAAGATGGGAATAGTTCAATTAAAAGCAGCGGCAAAAAGAAAAGTAGTGTAGTGTGTGTACAGGCTTCATATCACTTCCAAATAATGTCAGACGGTGCTATGGGTGTACTGTGTGATGGAGCTGAAATGAGACACACACACACATCTGAACAAATGGGTGTGTTTGCTCGTAGCTGCGCCCATGGGGAAACTACAGCACATGTTGGCGTTGCTTTAATAACTTTTTATTGGATGTAGTGCTGACGTTTCCGTGAAATGCCAGTCTTCAGTCCACGGCGTCTGTCTAAAGGCTTTAGTTCAATATATAGCGCTCTTTCTTTATTGCAGCTTCATTCAGTCTGCCTGTGTACCGCGGCAGATTGTGAAGGGTTGGAGATGTTAAGAATTTACTCAATATGATCTTTATTTTTCTTCACCCTTCATATACGAGATATTCAAAATGATGTATTCCCTGCGGTTTGAATGCATGCAGAAAGTTATGCCATAAACTTCAAATAGAAACTTTATTGGAACCACTGATATGTTTCATGAAAGACTTCATACAGTATGTTCTAATGTCTTATGTATGGAACAGGATTAGGGCCACATATTTTCACATCCGACTAAAAGTGAATTTTCTGTTTGGATCTGAAATTAAAATCAGAAGTCTGTGGAAAAAAATTTTTTTTACTCATAATTCTGACTTTAATCTCAAATTCTGACTTTTCTATTTTTAGAATTAGACTAGATTAGAGTGACATATTGACATTGCACATGAATTCAAAGTCAAATAAAGTAGGACATCAGTTTACATACACATATCAATAGTGAATTCAGCTTTTTCTCTCATAACTCTGAATTTAATCCCAGAATTCTGAGAGAAAATCTGATCTAATTTAATAACAACAAAAAATAAAAATAAACGCTTATTTTCAGATCCAATAAAAGATTCACTAGTTTTTTGGGGATATAAAAAACCCTAGTCCTTTTCCGTACTTGTGTAATACAGTGAGAAGAGAGGTCTTTAGTCCATCCTGCTTCTCTCATTTCTGTTGTATTTGAATGATTGCTAAAGCGTTGACTGTATGTGTCAGAAAAGCTTCTTCAAGACAAGAAGCAGCTCGCACAATCCCTCAAGATTTTAGTTTGCGTATACTGTCAGATTTGAACCTTTAACCCCTAATAGCGCCATTCTTCCCCCAGTGTAACTACACAACACATTTGGATGACTTATAGACCCCTTAAGGCCCACTCGGCACTGTAACTCATGTATGCTGTGACACATAAGGTACAGGAGAGATACACAGGGCTTTAACTTGATAATGCTCCGTGATTTACGGGATCTTCTGTGCTCCATCAGGTGATCATGGTGACTGGGGACCACCCAATCACGGCCAAGGCCATCGCCAAAGGTGTGGGCATCATCTCCGAGTGCAATGAGACGGTCGAGGACATCGCTGCAAGGCTGAATATCCCTCTGAGCCAAGTTGACCCCAGGTGTGTGTGTGTGTGTGTGTGTGTGTGTGTGTGTGTGTGTGTGTGTGTGTGTGTGTGTGTGTGTGTGTGTGTGTGTGTGCCAATTGTTAGTGCAGGTGGTTGAATGGATGAATACAGGGTTTTGTTGGTGTGTGTGTGTAAAAATAATGCATGAGCTGATCTTTTAGTCGTGTATATGCACTTGCAAACATCTTCCTATATTGAGGTCATGCTACAATTCACCATAACTCACTCTCTCACACTCCTTGTGTGTGAATGATCGCAAGTCAATTCCATTTTTCATTTAATCTCCCTAGAGCTGCTTTGAAAAGACATTATTAAGACAAAAAGGGGAGGGGGGGGGAGAGAGGGAAATGTGGAGAGAAAAGCTTAAATCACTGTTCTTATCTCCCTGTTCCTGACACTTTTTGTTCTCGGGTCCTTGTGGGTGCAGGGGGCGATCGTGGCTGTGACGGGCGACGGCGTCAACGACTCCCCGGCCCTGAAGAAAGCCGACATCGGCGTTGCCATGGGAATCGCAGGCTCTGATGTGTCCAAGCAGGCGGCTGACATGATCCTGTTGGACGACAACTTCGCCTCCATCGTCACCGGGGTGGAGGAGGGTGAGTGTGGGGGAGATCAAGGAGGCGCAGGGAGAATAGAAAAAGTGAGTCAGAGAAACAAAGAGAAAAAAGGGGATTTAAGAAGTTTTAAATGAAACCAATCCTGCCTGCAAGCTCCTTTGTCATGCAGCAGCAGAGACTGGAGATTACTGCATTGTTGTAAAGTCACCTGGAAATTGAAAATATGATATTGCTTTCTTTGTGGTAGATTTTTATAGCTGTCGACTAAAAGGGGCCCTATTATGGTCATCATCAGGATCATATTAGTTTCTCTCCTGTGACACGTCTCCATGCTTTAATGTTCAGCAAGCTCTTTATTGTTCTCATACTTCCTGTGCTGCAGCACCTCTTTTCACCCTCTGTCTGAAACCAGAGTCTGCTCTGATTGGTTAGCTGGCTGGCTCTGTTGTGATTGGTCAACCTCTTAGAGATGTCATCACGTACAATGTGTTGGAGCGTTAGCCAATAGAAGTGGGAGTGTAACCTAGTGATATCAATATCTTACAGAAGTAAACACAGGGATTTTAGCCTTTGCAGACCATTGACATGCACTCAAACCTGTAACACAGCAGGAAGTAAAGGGGAAACTTTGAAAACTCCAAAAAGCATAATAGGGTATTTTTAAGATTTGTGATTTGTAGTCAGAAATGAAGCATCAATTGGGACATCTACTCATCACATTCAAGGTTCAAGGTTCTTTATTTGTCATACAAACATAGCGTAGTTATGTCGATGAAAATCTTAGTCACAGGCATCTCCAACATCTAGAAATACTTGAGACTTAAAAAAAAAAAAAGTTTTTAGTTCTGGTATAATAAAAAAGACTTAAGACATGCACACCTACCTACATACTTTCTGTCTGTATATTGTATAAAAACACTGTAAGGTCTTAGAAAGGAACATTTCCAAGCGTTATGGATATCACGGTCAGCCCTCAGAGACCCGTAAGACCCGAAACTTGACCTGCATTTAGCTTATTAAGACTTTTGAAATGACATGGCTTCAAGGAATTGACTTACTTTGACACATTTTAGATTTGACTTGAGGCTCGCCACAAGACTATGTATTTAATTAAAGTGTGGGTTTTCTAATATAGGCTGAGAAAAAGCATTAGTGTGATGTGAATAAGCTGACGAAGCAGTAAAAGTCGTTTTTTATTTCAGTTAGTCTGGATAATTCACTGGAAAGTGATGAAGCAGCAGAAAGAACACACTATTAAAACTATACCGTGGTAGTATGTAACAAATATCCCGATGCCTTTATTTATCTTACATATTTCTTTCATGTCTTTCTTATCGCTGCAGGTCGTCTCATCTTTGACAACCTGAAGAAGTCCATCGCATACACGCTGACCAGCAACATCCCAGAGATCTCACCCTTCCTCCTCTTCATCTGTCTCAGTGTTCCTCTTCCTCTGGGGACCGTCACCATCCTCTGCATTGACCTGGGCACTGACATGGTGAGCGGGGGGGAAACTCAGTCCCTCAAACCCCTTATAGACATGTTAACGATTCCACATCTCCATCAATACTTATGACTACGTTTTTTTTGGAAAATTAACACTTAACATTCATTTTTTCACTTTTGTTTTTCTTGTTTTTAACATGTCAAAACTGCATTGTATATTTACAAGCTTAAAAAAGGAAAAGATATTGCAGCAAATTGCAAATAAAACTACAAATGCAGTTTGGAGACACATTTTCATTAGTCCAATTGAAACGGGGAGAGAGAGGAGATAACATGCGGGAAATAAGGGTAACACATGGTCTTTCCGCTTGAGGACCAAACCCAATTGAGCTATAGGTGGCCCCTTATTCGTCCATTTGTTATAACAGTCCCTCTCACTAAGTCAGTTAGTAATCCTTGTCGCTTGTTTGATTCCTGAATATTAACAATTTGTCCCGTTTTCTTCATACTGTGATTCTTGCAGTGTCAGTCGATGTGTGAGCTGCCTGTGTTGGGTTTTTAGTGTCTGACGTATGAAACACATCCTAGATGTGTTAGACATGCTGAACACATCTCTCTTTTTCTGCCCTCTAGATGCTGGTTTCAATGCTTTTTCATAGCTTTTCAAGCAAATGCCATCCTTTCTCTACACATTCAGTTTACACAGGAGGTTATAACAACAAAATATTTGTTTTTAGAATATCTTTCTTATTGGTTTTTATTTAAAATCACTGAATGCTCAAGCTAATTGTTTGCTAATGGTGGTGATTCTTCTCAATGACGATTAATGTTAGCATGTTGCATAGCCACAACTGAGCTAAAGGTGACAGTTGGAAACTTCTGTTAATACTCGTGTTCAATATAGGTGCCTGGAGGTAGAAAAGAACAAAACATTTGGTTTAATTTGTTCTTTCTGTTGGTGGAAGAAATTCGCTTTTGGCTTTCTGCCGCTGCCCATTTGTTTGAACAGAACAAAGAGCGGGTGCCGCTCACATACAGATTTACATTTCACTGCTCTGCCATTTCCAGATGCCAGTCTCTCCATTGTACTTCCAGCAGAAACAAAAAGAGTTGCTGGCACGGCGCTTGCCTGAGGGGCGTAATCCATCATTGCAAAAGAAAGGAAGCACAGGATGAATATATTCAAAAGGACTTGTTCACTTGTGTTCATTACTGTAACTTTAATTTTTCCTGCTCTCAGCCACTGCACAGTATGCGGCTGAAACTGCTTCTATACATCTCAATGAGCTGGAAGCAAGAAAACGTATAAGTTATGAGGAACGTAAACTATAATGGCCTCGTATTCAGCTGCCAAGAACCATTTGAAGTCTCTGAGAGTTTCAGATAAAGAGGAGAAGCTTGCTAACATTGTTCTACTTGTTGTATTCAGTTGACTTTAAAGATTAACTTCTTTGGTTTTCGTTCAGCAGGACAGATTTATTTGTGTTAACAAATATTTCCTTGCGATCACAGAGATGGTGCATTCTTTATCGGATAGATCTCTCCTGAAATATTTGTGATGATTGAAGTTTAAAAAGAATTGTATTCCTGTAACTGTTTTGCATATAAAAACCCTTCCCTTCAAAGCAACATGTCTGCATGATGGTGGAGTGAGCAGCTGGATGTCTGCTTTGAAGAGTACAGTAGCAACCTAAAAAGAAAATATTTAACAAAGTACCAGAGAAGTGTTTATAGTACAGTACACAAGTAAAATATACACAGATTTCCCATGTCTGCCGCTGAGGTTGTTAACAGCTTGTTAACAGCTTAGTTCAACTCCAGGCAACAGGCTTCAGGGCTCTGTGGAGATTTAGCAGTGACAAGAAGCACTTGGAGTCTGCTATGACTATTTTTAGCAAGCGCTGCCATGTGGGAAAAGGATGTCTGCAAAATATGTTTATCAAAAGCAGAATGTGGCACACTTAAGAATGCTTCCATTTTCGATATTGCCAATAAACAGACATTTACACAAACGTTCAAAGGTGTACAAAAATATCAATGCCAACATGGCGGCATCCTGTCCTAGTTTCCCTCCACAGCTGTGTGTCAGGGCAGGGTAACAACAAAACCAACTGGATTTGTCAACCGCCGAGCATGTGTTTGGTTCCACACAGTGCTGTGTCCCCCCCTCTCAAATCCAGAGATATCCTGCCTTAAGTCCCACATATTGCTCTGGTGCTTACCTGGTCAAACCAGCCAATATGAGAGCTTTATTACAGGGACCTTTCTCCCCTCCTGTTTTATGAGCGCCTTGAAATTCACAGCCAGCCTCTCTCCTCTCTCCGCCCCTCTCTCCGTCACTGTCACTGCTAATTCTTTCCCTCTCCTTGCCCTTTTTCTATCTTTTCTCTCCAGTGATTGAATGCTGAATTATATGAATGGTGATATGTTGAGCGTAGCCCACGTCTGCAGCTGTCATCATGCCTTTGTACCGTTGCCACTAAGACAAATCCCTGAACATTTATTGTACAAAGTGCACACAATGAACTGTGCTGTCCCTCCATTCACCTCAGGTTCCAGCCATCTCATTGGCCTATGAGACAGCTGAGAGTGACATCATGAAACGCCAACCGAGGAACCCCAAGACGGACAAGCTGGTCAATGAACGCCTCATCAGCATGGCGTACGGACAGATAGGTTTGTGGCTCATAAGCTCCCTGCACCACAGCTCTTAAACCTGAGTCACTGTGACAGGCCTCCCGCAGTAAAGTTATGTCCATAATAAACTTAGCAGGTCTAAAAAACATAAAATATTGACATTTATCTTGGCATTTCTTACTGCCTTTGTAAATGTTTAGGCATGCACATTGAAGGGAAATAGATCCCGAGGTGAGCAGAGAGTCTCCGAATTTTCTTCTAATTGTGGTGACATTTGCAGCAAATTGAGAGATGAGTGCAACTGTTTACTACTTAATCATGTTTCACTGGTTGGAGCCTCGGCTTTTTATCTCTTTTAGGTTTTATATGGTTTTGGGAATTGTGTAACTCAAAGGCTGGCCCAACTTTATAGGCTTTTAAATAGGCCAAAATGTGACGGGGCTTTGTCGGATGACAAGATGAAGAACGCTTTCAAAACAGCCGGATACTCACATTAACGCTCAATAATTCAAGACAAAACTTTTGCAGGTCACATCAAATCACTTTTACAAGCCGCAGTTTTGACTTTACAGCTTGAAGTCCTGAAGCATCGACAATAAAACATTGAACTGATGATCTGATCTGCAGTGACATAACAGTAGAGTTCAAATCCCAAAGTGAAGAGAAGGAAAATGTACAGCATCCCCAGAAAGCAAATGCAACGGATTTTCTTATCACTGAGGAAACTATGCTAATGCCTGTCAACATAAATACTGACCCGGTGCAGGGTTTCAATTTAGCATCAGAATAAATACGATGATTAATAACCATAGTCAATCCTTGCACAGTTTTTGCGGAGGTTTGTTTTAAATGAAGACGTACATTTTGAAATGGGATGTCCATCATATTGGAAACGTTACGCCCACTCTGACAAAACACATTCTCCAACATGAAATTAAAGCTCACCCATCGGCTATTATTGCAGTCCTCAGCTGTCTGGAGCCATTTCCTTACAGAATAGTAACGTTGTCGAGGGCAGAGGGAGGAAGACATAATCACCGGTGCTGTTGTCGAACACATATTAAGTGGCAAGCAGCAGGTGGACTGAGGCTGGGTGTCCAACATGTGCTCTTTCCAAGTCAATTTATCTGGCATTTTGTGGTATAATCCCTGTAAACAAGTGACCCTAATACCAGACCATTAGTATTATTATAATAGCTTTTGACACCCATTCATATTATCTTTGAACCCTGTCACTTTTTCTGTAGTAACATTATCTCTACTGCTACACTGTCATGAGATACACCATTAAAATGTAATATAACAGCATTTAATCTACACAATGGTCTTTATCAATCCATTATCCAATCATCCTGTCACTGTGATTTATAATATACATAAATGAATGTCTTATTGGTTCAAATTGCACTGAATTATCGTTTTTTCAAACCCCATGCAAATAAAAAAAAAAAGGGAACATTTTATTCTGAAGGTCAGAAATGTCTCAATGAATTCTTCATTGTTCCTGGTTTTGTTTAATTGGTATCCCAAACAACTGGTAACAAAAAGATGCTAGCATGAGGAAGAGTACACAGCCGTTTAGAAACATGCACATAATACGTTTTCCCTGAAAGGCATGTAGTTGAACCATACTTGCCAACCTTTAGACCTCAGAAATCGGGAGAATTTCAAAATGTAAAATTGGGGGGGCGGGGGGAAGGGGGGTGCTAGTGGATCTCCGGGCTGTTAGAATTAACATCTAACATGCTTATTTGTGAGAAGTGCACTGACTTGCGGCCTGTAGCACCGTCCTGATGACCATATGTGTGGGCCTGGACTTGTATTTTTACAGGAAAGGGAGCAGAGAGTCGAGTAGTTTGTCGATTCTTGTTCGTCTTTCTTGTCGAACTATCTGCTCACCCTCTCAGACTTGAGTGCGTGTGCGGCTACTAAAGAGACGTGTTACATGGAAACCAAACAATGTTGTAGCTGTATTAAATTGCGAGTGGAAACAGTCGTGATGTAATTTGATTTTTGTCAGACAATCGGCAGAGAACAATCCGGAGGAGGAATAGACCCCGGGAGAAACCAGGTGATGAGGGCAATGAAATCGGGAATCTCCCGCGAAAATCTGGGGAGGTTGACAAGTATTGAGTTGACCTCACACAAATAACTAAACCCTACATTAAATTAATAAAAATTTGCAACGAAAAAACCCAGAACTAAGTCGTCGATGTGTTCTATGACTACTGAATCCCATTGTTCATATCCTAGAAACATTTAGGACATTATTAGGAAAATTACAACCTATAAAATATAAGTGTTGCTATAAAACTCGGATGGTAACGTACCCCTTAATAAGAACGGATATAAAGATATTTCGCCTGATATTTGCTTTCCAGGGATGATCAGGCTGTGCTGGGTTTTTTCACTCTACTTTGTGATTTTGGCTGAAGAACGGCTTCCTGTCCACAATATGCGGTGGGGGTACCGCGTCAGATGGGAGACGCGAAAGTAAATGATTGTGGAGGAAGCTGGGCAGCACGTGGAAGGACGGACCGAGGGGAGCAGTAATATAAACAGAATTACAACTTTTATTTAGGTCGCCTTAACCGTTTATTCAAAACAATGTGTGTTCTCCTCGCCGCAGACGTGTTATGGAGCAGAGGAAGATCATTGAGGTTCACCTGCCACACCTCCTTACTTTATCAGCATCGTTGGTGGGATGCGAATGGGGCTGAGCTGATTCATCTGCCGCCAGCGAGACCGGGGGCGCAGATTCCCTGTTTCAACAGGGCATGAAGTGAGAGCAGCCGGAGGAGGAAGGGTGGAGTAACGATACCAAAGGTGCGGAGAGGGAAAAGAAAAGAAGGAAGAGAGAGAAAAAAAAAAAAAAAAAAAAAAAAAGAAAAAAAAAAAAAAAAATAAAAACAAAAAATGGGATTTCAGAATAGATTATTCATATGAAGTGATGTGGCGATCACCAGGAAGTAAAGCATAGCAAAGGTCCGATGAAAAATAATAATATAAGATCTGGTGGCAATATGAAAACTGCCATATCTTTGACATCGCTATGATCATTT